CCTTCGGCGTGCCTCGCGCGCGCGGCCTCTACTCCGAGCCGCTCACCAACGTGCGCCTCGCGCCCCTTGAGTGAAGTGCATGCTTTGCACCTAAACGGTTTTCCCTCGTCCGGGTATCTCCCCTCTACTCCGAGCCCCTCACCAACGTGCGCCTCGCGCCCCTTAAGTGCAGTGCATGCTTTGTGTCGCTGGATGGTCCCGCACCGATCTAATCGGCTGGCACGCTTTTCCCTCATCCCACCAGCGGGGCGCCGCTCCAATCGGTACATGCTCTACGCTCCCGACATGTGAGGACGTGTGAAGTTAACAGGAGAAAGGGGAAGGAAAAATTGCGCGCGGCCCGTGGCCCGTTTTTTGGGGGTACTGCGCCGGCATGGTATTGATTGGAAAAAACACGGGAAACTACTGATCAGAACAGCCTGCCACTTGAATTCTCGTCCAAACCGCGGCTAAACTGGGCCTAGCCGTGTAGATGGTGTTGCAAATTCTGCTCCTAGGTCGGGATCCGAACCCCAGAACGTCCCAGTCAGGGGCAGTACAGTGACATCAGTTGATGCCCTGAGCCATGGAGACGTACGTCACTGCGAAAGGGGCCTGCACTCTGTGTATCATCCACAAGCCAGATGAGCCGCTGCGCCAGACGATAATGCTTAGGAAGTGTCAATTCAGTCAATCGGATGTTAAAGATGGTGTCCACGAGTGATTCAGTTTGTGCTGGTGGAATAAAATATTGTGTAGGTTGATCCAAATCACGTCAAAAAGCAGGTAAGAATATTGAAATGAATTCTTTGTGTGAGGATTTCACGGTGGCGCAATGAACGTCGTAGAAAAACTACAGACCCAATCGGAGAGCCTTTGAATCATAAGCGGGAGTGTGTGCGCAGACGATTCTGACAGTTCATTAACACGTCACGACGACGAATGCTTCCAGATTTAACTTTGAACAAATAGTCAACGACGCAAGTAACCGTTGTGTAATCGCGGATAAATATTAGTTGATATACTTACACTAGGTTCAGCTTTACGCCGAACAAAGATTAGGATGAAGTCATTCTTAGGATAGGTGGCCTATGTTAATAAATCATTTCGATCCGTTTTTTCGTCCATTTTCCTTCGATAAATGCAGCAACTGCTGAAATGGCACTTTCCTCCACTTGTAGATGGAAATGTTGCTTTAGTATCTGCGCATCTTTTCTTTACTTTTGTTATGTCTTAGTACGGGAACTAACCATTCATCATAAAATAAGCTTTCCCTCTTCTCGCAGTAATGAGTCTATTTCTTCGTATAGGGCACGATGAGGGATGAGAGCAAAACTATGTCGCACGTGTAGTACGTTTTTACTACACGGGAATGAATAATTTTTGTTATCAAATCTTTTGAAAACTCTCATTGCTGACTGCATTCCTAATGCAACTTCGTATGGTAAGAGAACACGAGTCAGGGTTTCGGGGTTCAGGAAAATAGTCACTTACTGTACTTCTCTCTGATACCTAATATACATTTTAAAACCTGTTTTTTGACGTCAATAAATGCAAACAAAATCGTAAATAAATAATAAATATACAATTGAATTTTAAGTCCTGGATTTCCGCTTAGGGAAACATGCAATTACTTTCGGCTGTCCGGGCGACGAAGGTGTGCGAAGCGCGTTATAGCGAATGTGCTAGTGCCAAGGTCTCCGCTTTTTAAACATAATCCTGGCGACAGGAACATATGTGCAAACGCATCTGAGCCTGGGCGTCTCTGACGTCACCGTCCGATTCGCCCATTTCCATGGCAACTCGGCTGCGCAGCAGTTCACCTTGACTCGGCCAGTTCGAGCTCTGCAGCCGGCTGAGTTAAGGTCGGACGCTGCAGCACCGCTGTCTCGCCAGTGAAGTTCGCCCGCGAGGCCCAGGGTTCTTGTTCCGGAGGTTTCGGATTTTGGACACGAGCTCCACAGCCACGTCGAGTTCAGCCGCTGCCCGGAGGAGAATTCTAGCGACCGGCTGCTCTGATCGGTGATTTTCTCCGATCAACACTAGGAGAATGCCGGAGTAGTACGCTAACAAACGGGCCACGGACCGCGCGCGATTTTTCCTTTCTTTCTTGCCTTATCCTCCCCCATTACTTACATACATACACCCAGTAGTGCTAAAAACGCATCATCTAAAGAAAATTGGCATTCTGTATTTCTAATCCAATCTGCTCTGAAATATTTTAAACAATTACTAGTTGAAATTGTTGGTGGAAATTAGTAAGAAATTGGTTATCATATGTTGTATATCGATTATATGATGTTTCTAATTCCTTTACCTTCATTACTCGATCAAGTGGTGAATTTTTAGGATTATATTGAAGATTACAAGTGTGAGAAAGGTGACGCGGTATATTTTTTGTGCCCTACTGTACATCCACTACACTACCACACACGTCGGGAGCTTAGGTGGGAACGGTGCCCTGCTAGAGAGACACCCGGAGGGGGAAGTTCCCTCGCAAGCCGTCGTGTGATTTGGGGCCGGGTCTCCGCCACCTCCCGAAAAAACCCTCTTCACTGACGGGAGCAATGGCCGGTCAGATGACCGGGATCGTTAGGGCACTAGTGGTCTCGGTACAGATGACCGCGGGTTCGAGTCCCACCTCGGGTATGGGTGTATTAGTGTATGGCTATAAGCGTGTGCTGTCCTATCATCTCTTACCATAATCATCATCGCATCACCCAGGGCTATAAACATCGGAATTCAGCAATAATGGTAATCCCCCTAGAAAGGTACTGGCACCTGCTGAATCAGGATGCCAGCGAGGTCCGAGTTGGCTCACCCCCCCCCCCC